ATGAATTTAAATTAACTTACAGTAGTATGTGAGGATGTTGCTAAATGTTGTTTACGTTAAGGATGAGGGAAACACCCAGTAACCTGGTGAAAGCTGGATACATGGTACAATAGTCAAAATTATACAAACTACCCACAGCTGTATGACAAGAACAAACTAAAAACATATTGAAGATATTTAAAACGAAAGTTAAACATTACATGGCGAACCACTTGATGATTGCACAAAATGGTGGGCATAGAATCAGGAGTAAGATGAACCTTTTGACAGATGGCAGAAGGTTAGTAGTGTCCGTGTAGATGGATGGTAAGGTGTGTGCTATGTTGCCAAATCACTTCAGATGATGTGGTTTTCAAGATATGTTGAGTAAGAACTTGTCAGACCGACCAGAGGCAGTTGAACTAACTATATTATTGATGAGATGGGCAATTGAATTAACAGTTATTATTTTATTATGAGAAAACAATTATTAAAATTTGAATGGAATGGAATTTTTTGGTGGAATAGACCAAAAAACAGATTCCATTTATGGTTGTGAAAAGTCAAAATTTGGAGGGATGTGTAAGTGCTCCAACTTTTCGCAGTTTAGCAAATATGAGTAAATGACGCTCAGTTGCTTAACATCTGTCTTCTTATTGATACAGTTGTCATTCATGAAAATGTGGGACATTTCCAGGAATAAACGTTTGGATAGGTGTTTTTCTTTATCAAGAACTTTGATACTTGTTTAATTCATAGAGTGCCCTGTTGTGTTGACATGAGATGCCAGAGCACATGTCTCGGGATGAAGCCTAGAATCACTTTTGTGTGATGTAATCCTTCCTTTTAGAGATCTAGAGGTCTGACCTATGTATATTTTGTTGCAATTATTGCAACTGATAGAGTAGACTGTGTTGGTTAAGCCAAGCAGCGGGACTCTGTCTTTCATCGTTGAAAAAGTGCAGTTTATAGTGAGGACGGATTTGCAAGCAATTCGACAGTTCAACGGGCTGCATAGTCTGATCAGCTTAGGGGTCCAGTTCCTTGATATAGGTATACAGGTATGTATATATATATATAGAGTTGGAAAGGTAAGGATCACTAGGCTGATGTATGTCTCCCTACATGGCTGCATATAACTCAGACCTGCGATGACTCTGATGGGGCGCATTTGTAGTGCAATACACAGAGTGACCCTAGTTCAAAAGTGCATATGAGATTCTTTAGTGGAAGTGTCCATAATATGTGGTTAGCAACGCACCACCAGAAACACAGCTTTTCAGATTACTAATTAAATAGATGGCCTGGGATAGTGCCCTGAGAATACTGTTTTCATGTTCTTCCCACGTCATGTGTGTATCAACACTTCACACAATCAACTTATAACCATGGACTGTGTCTTTGAAGCATGAAGTGCCAGTTTATCGGCTAAAAATGAGTTTTATAAATTTATTGTATATTCAATATTCGCAGATAGTAGTAGATCAATCGATTTGCTACTACAGCGCATTGTTGTGTCAACGGCAAGCAATATTAGGTTGTTGCTTGTATTTCAATTAGGAAGGTCACTAATGTATATTAAAAATAGAATTTGACCCAGCACAGAACCCTGAGGGATGCCACATGAAACTATCATTGTACTGGAGGTAGTGTTGTTGAATGTTACAAGCTGCTGTCTGTTGCTCAAATAAGGTGACAAGGGCCTAATCCTATTACTATGGAACTTGTAATGCGACAATTTGTGTAGAAGAATGTCATATTGGACATAGTCGAAAGCCTTAGTAAGATCAAAAAAATTAGCTAAGCAATGAGCACCACTTTCAAAAGCTGCATTTATTTTCTCAATGAATCTATCAATAGCTAGAGAAGTAGACTTACCTGATCTGAATCCGAACTGAAAGTCAGTAAATAGGCTGTTGCTTTCAAAATAGTTAATGAGCAGATCTTCCAAAAGAATCTCAAGCGGTATAAGTGAAATAGGTCTATAATTTGAACGATTATTGGTATCGCCTTTTTTAAAGAGGGTGATAACTTTCGACAGTTTGAAAATATCAGGAAATATACCAGTTGAAATACACCAATTGAATAATTTTGATAATGGATAATAATGAGATTTTGAATGGTTGTAAGAATATTCGCATTGAAACCGAAAACATCAAAACATTTAGATTTATTTAATTTATCTATCGCTGCCGTGACCTCCTTAAAAATAAAACCTTCTGTATGAGTTACCTCATGCAAATAGCTCGTACGAGTTGAAGCTGAAGATGGAATTTGGTCTAGTAGATTATTTGCAATGTTAGTAAAATAAAGATTAAGGTCAGATGCGCTAAGCGTCGTGCTTGTTGTTGGCTTTTCATTGATTTGTTTTTGATAACATTCTATACTGCTTGTTGACAATTTTTAGCATGTTTAATATAGCTTGCTTTTTGGCTTGATTTATTGCACGTCTATATTCATACTTGTATAGGATTAGATACTCTTTATTTACAATTTGAGGATGAGATTTGTTTAGTTCTGACATAAATTGGTATTGCTCTCTCATGCGCTGAAGATTTAAGTTGTATCAAGGTGAATTAGAAGTAAGTCTGTTTTTGAGAATCTTTGATTTGACTGGAATATTTCTGTCAATTTCATCAACCAGGGTTGTGACGAATTTTTTGACTAACCATTCAATAGACATATTGCGATTCTCGACAAAGTCCCAATTCACGTGCTCAATACTATTTTACATATTGAAAAGACCAATATCTGTAATTGGACGATAACTAAAACTTTTACATGTTGATGGACACGGCTTATATTCTATGGAGAAATCAATGATCTGGAAAATAGGTATCGAAAGCGGTTAAAGATGTTCTAGTTCCTGGGCAATTCGTAAATATATCGCCGAGACAGTTAGCTTTACGAGTTTCCGCAAACACCGTAGCCTCAAGCCCATAGCTATCAAACAACTTCACTACAGGTAATGCTCGATATTAGTTTGTATTGAATCTAACGTTGAAGTCACCAGTTACTATAAGCAATCTATTGTTATTAGTCTTACCTAGAAGCATCCATAACTTCAACAGGAAAGAATTGGTTTAGTTATCCCGCTATGCACGTCGCTCCTGGCGAATATTTGGACTATGGGTGGTTGGAACTGTCATTAATTCACTGATACCTTTTTGAAATAACATGTTGAGCGAGATTTAATCGGGTCGCATTGGATCATCTTGGGGATATTTGATTATTTTAGATCTCCTGAGACAATATGGTTAGATCTACTGGAAAGTCAGTCAACCTCGGGCATCAGCAGCGACAGACACGTGCCGCCCGAACAAGGGAAGCTGCACTATTTAGTCAAATCTGCTTGTACTGCTTCCAACTCCTTGGAGTAATTCGTCCCCTTGGACTGACTCAGATTTCCCTGGATTGAACTGTATTGTTCGATGACATGAAGAACCTTTTTGGATAAAATGGTACATATTGATGAATCTTAAAACAAAATTTGCCTTCCTAGGTTGTGCCGAATTGCCTCGATTCATTTCCCAGAAAGTCGCCTTTTTAACCACTCCTTTAAGATGCAGAATGACAAATAAAATGTGTTTTGAATCTCGAGTAGAATATAAAAAATTAATAATGGACAGGGTGTTCCATGTAAAATGAGCAGGTTGACGCTTACTTTCGATACAAGAGAAGGTACCATAATAACAAATTTTCATAGCTACTTACGTCAGCTTTTTGTGTGATCGAGTAATGGCTGCAGATCTACGTCTAAACAACTAGCTAATTTAGAAGCACACACTGATGAAACTGTAAAATCAAACGATATTGATAGTTCTAAATATATATTGATAATGCCTCGTCGAATATTCCATAATATAAAAATACCTAGCTGTCTTCAGTGAATCAAATACACGATTTCAACGCGCCCGGATGTTATGAATTAAAAATGGAACGAAAGTATTTCGCGGCTATACACCTTCGCTTTCCGGGAGAATGACCTTCACTATGGCCACTTGTAATTGGCATTCGTTTGAGCAAATTAAATGAAATTAAGTAAAATACAGACCTACATTACGGTTCAAAACGACTACTAAGAACGGTAATAACTAAAGAAAATAGAAACATTATAACTAGAGAGAGAGAGTAGAAAGAATAGCTACGATAGCAACAGGCCTGTCTAAAAATTATTAAGTAAATACGACAAATGATTATTTCAGATTGTCACATTTGCGAGCTAAAAGTTTTTGAGAGATTTGTTGGCGAGAAAAAGCTTTTAAAAGATGGAAGTTGACCCAGGAGGATCAACAGACGACGCAGTTCCACATACTATGAGGAAAGAGCTGCGCGGTGGCGGAAACCAAGCAGAAGCAGAAAACATGAGCTCACTGACGCAGATGTCATCGGAGCAGAAAACGATCGAAAAGCTGATGCTGATTATAGATGACCAGGCGAGGCAGATTCGGGACCTAATGGAGACCATCAAGGACCAGACAGCCAAAATTGACAGCCTTACCGCCCAGGTAACCATATTACTAAATTCAAAAGAATCCCCTAAAGAACGGACAAAGACCCTAAAAAGACCACTGAGAAACGTTTCCGATGATCATCTCACATCCACAGACGAAGACGTACAGACTGAAGGATTTGTAAAAGCAAAATCAAGAAGGAGGAAAGGCGATAAGGCTGATCGATCAACCCAAGACTTTCCTCCTCTTCCGAATACAGGATCAATTCCATTTCACACCTCCCCCAATTCATCAAACCGAAACACTATTAATGCTTCTATTACCAAGCCAGGGAACACGTTATCTACCTGTCAGGTGACTCCGTCAACCGATCTTACTTCTCCTCCGTCATCTCGTCCAACCGTCGTGGCATCAACACAACCCTCACGACAAGGGCGCATAACCCCGATCGTTTTACGCGACGGGACGAGATGGCGTACTTTAAATTTCAAGTTTATTTCCCTAGGTATTAAAATAGATCGCGCGGTTGCCGTCGATGCGGGAATAAGGATTATTCCTAAATCCGAGGACGACTACCGTAAGATCGTTCGCCTATTCCGAGAGGAAGAAGTGCCCCATCACACTTTTCCTCTCCCTTTGGAACGGAACATCCATGCGGTGGTTCGAGGAGTTCCCGTCAACTTTTCGGATACTGAGATTAAGGGAGAACTGGAGCAGAGAGGATATAGCCCTCTTCACATCATTCGATTGAAGCGCAGCGGCGGCGCGCCCATGCCTTTGGTGGTCGTGATACTGCCCAAGACTGAAAAGTCTCAGCAAGGGTTCAGCGAACACGAACTGCTGGGACTGGCCATTCGAGTTGAGGTTCAGAAGAACTCCAGACTCATTGGGCAGTGTCACCGCTGCCAAAAGTATGGGCACGCCCAGTCATATTGCACTGCACCGCCCAAATGCTTAAAATGTGCAAAGGACCACATGACGCATTTGTGCCAACTCACAGAAGAGGAAGAACGCAAGTGCGCGAACTGTGGAGAGGGACATCCCGCAAATAGCCGGACTTGCAAGTTCACTCCAAGGAGGAACTTGCAAGTTATAGCGCAAAGGCGCAATATATCATACGCGGACGCAGCTCGGGAGGCAACCTTGCCTGCCCCTTCTGCCCAACCTCCCTTGAGCACGCAAAATGTGGACCTGGCAACCGCGCTAAGGTCCTTACAACAAATAATAAGCCCACTGATTAGCGCTACCCAAGCGTTGCAGGCGATATTTCCTGTAAATGTCTAGGTACAATAGTAGACAGCCTGCATTCATCAAAATTATTTTTTGGAATTGTTTGGGCATGAGGGATATTCCCAAAAAACGGGAATTTCATCAAGCTCTTTTGGATGAAGGTATAGATGTGGCCTTGCTGCAGGAAACGTTACTTAGTCCGGGAGATCGTTTAGCTCTCCCGAATTATGATGTTATAAGAGGTGACAGATTGAATGGTCGAGGCGGCGGTTTAGCAGTGTTGATTAAACGCGGTATAGACTATTATAGAAGCACTAATGCGGAGATGCATAGCATCGAAGCAGCTTCTGTGGTGGTCAATATGGCGGGAGGTGACTCGTTGAAGATCACATCGGTGTATGTCAGGTGTGGTGCCAGGCTACAAGAGGCGGATCTGGAGGTCCTTTTGGACTACTCGGGTCCGCTTATTGTGGCAGGGGACTTCAACTGCAAACATCGAGCATGGAATTCTAGGTTGAATTCCACTAGTGGGGTTCGATTGTACAACCATGTGATGCGAAATGGGTACTTTATACATAGCACTGAAGAGCCGACACATCATCCATTCAACCATCTTCAGGCACCAGATGTCATCGATTTCGCGATATCTAAAAACTGTAGATACAGTATCTCTTCTCGAATCTTGTATGATATCTCTAGCGACCATCTACCTGTTGTCTTGGATGTGGGCAATGAGCAAACTTCTGAGGAGGCAGCTCCTCCAAGGAAACGCATTAATTGGGACCTATACAAGTTGCTCCTTAGAGAGTTTCCCAATATCCCGATTATAGATGATGAGTCTGGAATAGATGCCGCTCAAGCGGAGTGGACAAGTTTCATTCAAGCAGCTCTACAGCGTGCAGCTGTATTTCCTGTACAACGACACGGCAGACCTTTTTTGCCTGCGGACATTCGTCAGAAAATCTCTGACAAAAGAGCCGCTATTAACCAGGCAAAAAGGTCTTGTCATCCTGATGACATTCGTAGGGCTACAAATCTTGTCCATGAAGTGAGAAACGCACTGCACGAACTCCGCAACGAGCAATGGAGCGACTTTCTGGCGGGAATGCTTGATTCAAGTATTCCTCTCTGGAGGGTCGCAAAGTCACTCAGAAACGGAAAGCGAGAACAACTCCCACACATCCACGGTCCTGAGGCATAGTCTTCAGAACGGAGGATAAGGTCGAGGTTTTCGCTGATGCCATGGAAAAACAGTTCTCTCCCAACTATGATCTCGAGATAATGACCTCGACGAGGAACAGCACATTGTACGATCCGTCAGGAGATATTTTAGGGCTAACGGCGTTAGCGGAGGCACTGAATCCTCTTCAGATGACTCTTCTTCAGAAGATTCGTCTGAGGCTCCACATAGCACATTAGCGGAACCCTCCGAGTTTCCACATTGCACACCAGTGGAGTTACTAAGTCATATTAAAGACCTCAAGGTGCGTAAAGCACCTGGGGAGGATCAAATCACCAACAAGGCGTTGAAGCTGCTCTCGCCGAAAGCCCTGACATACTTGGTGACAATAATCAATGCGACGCTCAAAATCCAGTACTTCCCTGCTGGGTGGAAGACTGCTGAGGTCATCATGATTCCAAAGAAGGTGGGTTCGATATTTCCTCAGGATTACCGTCCCATAAGTCTGCTGTCAGCTCCTTCTAAGCTCGCCGAAAAGGTGATTTATCGTCACCTTGAGAATTTTTCGTCAAATCACCATGTGATTCCTGACGTCCAATTCGGTTTTCGGTCTGAGCATAGCACCGAGCTACAGGCAGTCAGGCTGGTGGAGCATGTAACCAGAGGGTTCACCCTTAGCATGAGTACTGGCATCTTGCTTTTGGATGTCTCGAAAGCCTTTGACAAGGTGTGGCACGCGGGCCTCCTCTATAAACTAATCCAAAAGGGTTTTCCTTTTTGGCTTCTAAAATTACTGAAATCCTTTCTTGAAGGAAGTTTCGGATCAAAATTAAGAATGTTTTGTCAACAACACGGCGAGTACGGGCCGGTGTTCCTCAGGGTTCGGTCCTAGGACCAATTCTTTATTCGCTTTTCATCCATGATATCCCTTCCCCCAGCAACTGTGAAGTCTACCTCTATGCTGACGACACTGCACTTGTCGCCCAGTCGTATACTGGTGATCTGGTTCACGATGGGTTGCAGAATGCGGTGGACGAAGTTCTAGAGTGGGCGGAACGGTGGCTGATAAAAATTAATCATTCAAAAACGCAGGCTATTTATTGTACCAAAAAACAACGCTCAATGGTATGTGTCAAATGAGACACTACACAGAGACCTTGACATTCCTTACTTGAGGGATTATGTCAAGCTTCTGGCGCAGCGACGTTATAGTCAAGCGGAATCGCACAGCAACCCTCTGTTGCGTGACTCAGTGGACTACACAGTGGAGCAAGTTCGTAAACATTCAAGGCCACGGCTCGCACTGTAATCAAAAGTTAGCGTGAATCTTTAGTAAACTCAAAATTACACTCTAACAAAACCGAATCAAAAATTTGTTTAATTCACCTCAAAATTAATCCGTGTACCAAGTCAAAAAGCCTAGGTGTTTCCTCTTAAACTAAGCATATCTGTTTTTCTTTGTTCTTCTCCTTTTTTCTTCTCTTTCCCTTTCTCTTTTTCCTTGACTTTGTCTGGTTTCTGGGCAACCAGGACTGACAGATTCGACTAACGTACATCAGACAGTGACTAATGGGCAAAGGTCCTACGGACCGCTCAGACAGATAAATGACGAATAGTATGATTATTTCAGATCATTAAGAATAATACGTCAAAATCTAGGGTGTACATATTTCCTCAAACGATTCTTGTGTACTGTTATCGGTTTATTCTTATTACCTATGGTACAGTTGGCATCTTTTACTCTACGAATCTTGAATGTACCATCAAACAAAGGTTCCAGCTTGTTTTGAGCCTCGTTTATCGTCAAAACTAGGTATTCTGGCTTTATGGATAAATTATACGAGTGGGTGTAGTATTGCAGTTTACGATCCCTTTTAGCTTTGTCAAGGAATGCTCTCGCGATGTGTTGAGCAAGATGAAGCCGAAATGTCATTTGTGGAAGAGATGCCCTTTTTCCAAAAACTAGTTTAAACGGAGTGTAATTATGATATGTACTGGGTGTTGTGTTGTAGCCAAATGCAAAATATCCAGCTATCTCAGTCATAATGAGTATCATCCACATACATGCGTATCTTCCACATATATGGGTATGTACATTGTACACATTCAGGACTCTGTGATTTATCTCACATCCCCCTTTAGTCTGACTATGATTTGCTGTAGATATCTTGTGTTCTGTTCTCAGCAGTCTTGCAAGGTTGGAGAAAAGTTCATTTTTGTACCCAGCGTCCATGACTGTCCTAACTTCTTTCACAGGACCATATATAGGGTGCGCCATCAGTTGGCTTTTTTAAGTTGGTATTGTTTTGACAGTTGGCAACACCTCCATGCTCAACATATTGACAGATATATTGTGTCAAACTTTCGCTGTGAGCAGTGGATCATTTTAATCTTGATCAAAGGTGGCAAATATTGGAAAAATATTTTCGAAGTGAGTGCTGTGTTGCAGAAGCTTTGCGAAAATTGAGAAGACTGTTTGGTCGGAATGAAGCTCGGTCCGCGACTGGTATACGAAAATTCGTGAAGGAGGTTCGTGAAACTGGACTGCTTGTGGATAACAGAAGGCATGAGCGTGTTCGGTCCGTACGTAAAGCGGAAAACATTGCTGCTGTTGCCCAGAGTGTGCGTGAAAACGGAAGAATGTCAACTCGTCACAAAGCACATCAGGTGGGCATCAGTCCCATTTCGGTGCGGAGAATATTGCACAACGACCTGGGATTATTTCCTTACAAGGTGCAACTTGTGCAAGAGTTGAAACAAAATGACCGTCCACTTATCGTTATCGTTTCTCTGTGTGGGCTCTAAATCAATTGGAAACGGATGTCAATTTTCCTCGCCAAGCTATCTTTTCGAAGGAAGCCCATTTCCATCTGGGAGGTTACGTTAACAAGGAGAACTGTAGGATTTGGGGTTCTGAGAATCCACATGTCGTCATAGAAAAAAAGATGCATCTAAAAAGAGTAACTGTTTGGTGTGGCTTTTGGAGTGGTGGGATTTTTTTCAAGATGAAGTTGGTAACAGCGTGGTGGTAAACGGGAAACGCTATAGAGACATGTGTGGAGTTTTTTGTGGCCACTATTAGACGACATGCACTTGCACAATCTCTGGCTCCAGCAGGATGGCGCAACATGCCACACCAGCCGTAAAACAATCGATCTTTTACACACTAGATTCGGTCATCAGGGTATCAGGCGTTTTAGAGACGTTAATTGGCCAGCCCGCAGCTGTGATTTGACGCCCATGGATTACTTCCTATGGGGTACTAGTAAGGTCCGCTGTTACAATTGATGCTCTCAACGAAAATATCCGTCGAGCTATTGATAAAATAGACCCACAAACTATCGAAAATATGCCTCAAAATGAGGTTAAGAGGATGGACTACTGCCAGGCCAGCCGCGGCAGCCATTTAACTGAAATTGTTTTTCATGAATAATCTAATTCTTATGAATAAAGTATCGGGTGTTACATATTATTGAAGATGATCCACCCTTTATTTATATAAACTCTCCCACAACGTACTTAGATAATTCACATTGTATGGTTATTGCGTAAGAATTATCTACATCTTATTTTTGAAAAGGCCCAATTGTATCTATGCAGACAATATCAAAGGGTCTTTGAGGTGTGGTGGTTAGAACCAATGGTTCGGTATGTTTGACATTTGTGACAACTTTTAGTAAAGTTAGCAACATGACGAGATATTTATTTCCATTTACGTTATGAAATGACTTAAGTTTTTTAAGTAGTCTTTTTTTCACGACAGTGACCTCCTAATAAGGGCTCATCATGAGCTTAATTTTTTCATCTTTAATTACTATCAACTTTTGAGGTGTATAAAGTTCTTTAGACAAAACATTACAAGCTTTACAAAACC